GTAGCAGAAAAGACCTTGACGTGACTTGGGACAATAATTTTCAAAACCACGAAGGGTCCTTTCCGGATTTGCGTGGCAGGTTGATTCCAGGTAGAAAAAATACAGCTCATGTGAAGGCAAAACCTGAAGAACAGGCAGCCCTCCTGTCACAAACACTTGTTTAGTGAGCGTTCAAAGTTACAACACACTGAAAAAAGTGTCCTATAATCATTTTTCACACTTACGACAAATGTAGCCTCCCCACAGTTACGTGACCAAAATTCAGACACTTGTCAACTGACTCCTGTTTATGACGGTCGCAGCGTCCTGGAGTCACGGGATCCCCTTTTGCGAACTTCTGACAAAGTCAACAGGGAAGCTAGATTCAATTAACAATGGTCTTATTAAATAACTGCAGTGATTCACTTAATAACTTTGGAAAGGACAATCTAAAATGGAGCAAACCTCATGTCACAACTGTCTCGCTTAGCAACGGAAGTTTTGGGCTCCACTGGGGTCATAAGTCAAGAACTATCTATATAGAGAATGGTGTGTTGCACCATAATAGAGAAAGCGTAAATGTCGCCCGCAGTTTCTTGGCCCACTCAAGGGACATGGCCATGGGTGACTGTGTATGTTTCCCCCGATGTTCACTTGCGTGTTACACAATCTACCTTCCCACCTAACCCTCCAAGTGATGGTGAAAACGAAAGGAATAATGCCCGTTCATCGTTTGGTTCTGGGTGAGACAATTGGAGCTGCCTACCTGGACCTCTTCGGGCACGTCCTGAGAATTTGGGGCAGAGCGCAGGGCCTCGTCTTTCAGAGGACTTAAGGGCAGCTTGAGAATTGTGGAGAGGGCATTTGTTTCACCCTCTCTGGTGGATAATAATAATAATAATACTTGGAGGTCATCTAGTCCAACCCCCTGCTCAGGCAGGAAACCCTACACCATTTCGGACAAATGGCTGTCCAGTCTCTTCTTAAAAACCTCCAGTGTTGGAGCATTCACAACTTCTAGCAGCAGGATGTTCCACTGGTTAATTGTTCTGACTGTCAGGAAGTTTCTCCTTAGTTCCAGGTTGCTTCTCTCCTTGATTTAGTTTCCATCTGTTGCTTCTCATCCTGCCTTCAGGGGCTTTGGAGAATAGCTTGACTCCCTCTTCTTTGGGGCAGACCCTCAAATATTGGAAGGCTGCTATCCTGTCCCCCCTCGTCCTTCTCTTCATTAAACTGGACATCCCCAATTCCAGCAGCCATTCCTTATATGCTTTAGCCTCCAGTCCCCTAAAATCATCTTTGTTGCTCTTCTCTGTACTCTTTCTAGAGTCTCAACATCTTTTTTACATCGTGGTGACCAAAACTGGATGCTGTATTCCAAGGCCTTGTAAAGTGGTATTAACCCTTCAGGTGAACTTGATGAAGCAGAAGAAGACTGGAAATCAGATTTTTATCCTAATTCGGAAGACCCTTCAAAGAAATGTAAACCAGAAGATTTCCTCTTAGGTTTGATGGACATTTGGAACTTTATTACTATATGGGTTAATAGTGGCGAGAATCTTAACCCAGGTTGCCCTCGACTTAACGACCGCAATTGAGCCCAAAATGTCCGTTGCTAAGTGAGACAGTTGTTGTGAGTTTTGCCTCATTTTACAACCTTTCTTGTCACCGTTGTTAAATGAATGACTGCAGTTCTTAAGTGAGTCACACAATTGTTAAGTGAATCTGGCTTCCCCAGGGGCTTGGCTTGACAGAAAGTCAGAAAAGGGGACCCCGCGACGCTGCGACCGTCATAAACGTGAGTCAGTGAGTCTGAATTTTGATCACGTGACCCTGGGGATGCTGCAAGAGTCGTAAGTGTGAAAAACGGTCGTAAGGTACCTTTTTTCAGTGCTGTTGTATATTCAAACGATCACTAAACTACTGGTCATAAATTGAGGACTCTCTGCATGCACAAAGATGGGAGGGAAGGCTAATGGCGGAACGGATAATTAAGATGATGGCAAAATTGACTGTTTTAACTAAAGAGAAGAACTTACCTACTTTTGTTTCTCTTTGGAAACCATTTCTGGATTTTGTACTCGAAACGGGGGAAAAAAGGAAACTGTAATTTTAGATTTTGATGATTAGGATGACTTTGTTGTTATAGAAATGGCTCGAACCAATTAGATATGCAAAGCGGATGATGGAAGCTGTGATTCTTTTTGTATTCTGTTGAAATGAAAAATGTCAGCAGTCCCTTCTTTCCTTCTTTTCTAGGCCCGTTTGCACCTTTCTCTTTTTAACTTTACTCATTTTTGTTTGTATATTTTATCTCACAATAAAGCTTAATAAAACTGTGATTGCTTTTTTTTTTCAAAAAGAGAATATATTTCCATACAAACAGATAGGCGATCTTTCCTCAGATGTTTGAGTTCTATTGTTACCAAAGTAAAATATAAAACAAAGGATTGGGCCCTGACATCAGCGCATAACGGGCGGTTACCAAAATTGGCTAAAATTTGGACTTCCGCTCAGTGATAATATTGTTGCTGCTTGCACAGCTGTTTTATAAATGCATTAATTTTTTTTTTTTAGCATTTTCAGATTTGATGAAACGAGGTACAATTGTTTGCAGAAGTTTACCACATGTTTACATGTTAGTAAAACATCTTACTGTTATTTGATTCTGTGTTCTAGGGCCCTTTTTTCTATTTTTTTTTTTTTTTTGTGGGAAAGTGTTCTGACTTCTTTCAAGATAGAATCTAAAGCGACCGTTATCCGTTAGCTCTCACGAAAACCTTTGTGCAGGGCCTGGCTCTTGGGGAGACGCACTTTTTGGGGATAAAGGAATGTATTGCAAACTGGCACCATCCTGAAGACAACAAGCAACGCTGAAGCAATGATTTTTGGTCGAAGGAGCAATGCTTTTAGCCACACTGGTATTTCTGTATTAAATAGCATTGGCTTTATTGAGCAACAAGGATAACAGCCTTAAAACCAACCTCTTCAGAATAAAGCCTTGACGCAGATGTGGGACAAATTAAGTCTGTCTTTTGAACTGTGTTGAAATGGGCAAAACCAGGAAAGTGCTGAAACCATGATGGTGATGGTGGTTAGGTTAATGGTATCTGTCCTTCTCCTGCCTCTGGGGTGTTCTCTGAGTTTGACTATTTTCTTGCAGACGTGTCATTACCCAACTGGGCAACATCATCCCTGCCAACTGAAGTTGCCCGTTTGGATAATGAAACATCTATAAGGAAACAGCCAACCTCAGAAGACCCCAGAGGTCCATCCTGAGCTCCAGATTCTCCAGTTCTCTTGATCTTCTGCCTATCTGGCAGGAAGATCTCAGTTTACACTCACATTAATCAAGATCACGTGAAGGGTTAATACCCCTTTACAAGGCCTTGGTAAGGCCACACTTGGAATCCAGCATCCAGTTTTGGTCACCATGATGTAAAAAAGATGTTGAGACTCTGGAAAGAGTGCAGAGAAGAGCAACGAAGATGATTTTAGGGGTTTGGAGGCTAAAACATATAAGGAACAGCTGCTGGAATTGGGTATGTCTAGTTTAATGAAGAGAAGGACGAGGGGGGACAGGATAGCAGTCTTCCGATATTTGAGGGGCTGCCCCAAAGAAGAGGGAGTCAAGCTCTTCTCCAGAGCTCCTGAAGGCAGGACAAGAAGCAACGGATGGAAACTGACCAAGGAGAGAAGCAACCTGGAACTAAGGAGAAACTTCCTGACAATTAGAACAGTTAACCAGTGGAACCACCTGCCTCCAGAAGCTGTGAACGCTCCAACACTGGAAGTTTTTAAGAAAAGGCAGGACAGCCATTTGTCCAGAATGTTATAATAATATAATAATAATATTATTATATAATACAATTATATAATAATATAATTATACAGGCACTGTTTTGTTCATTAACCATGCAGTCCTGTTTCTACCTACCCAGAAATAGGTTAACTTAAGTGAGATGATTCCCAGATGCTTACATGTAGACCAACCTCCCCCAACCCAAATATTTTGGGATTATGAGACCCCAGATTCACTGAAAACATGATGGTTAAGCCTAGAACTAAGTTCCTGATAGTGAGAACAATTAACCAATGGAACAACCTGCCTCCAGAAGCAGTGAATGCTCCAACACTGGATGGCCGTTTGTCCGAAATGGTGTAGGGTTTCCTGCCTGAGCAGGGGGTTGGACTAGATGACCTCCGTGGTCCCTTTCAACTTTTATTGTTATTATTAGCCGTGGTCAGAGTGATACTGAACAAGTTGTTATTCCTCGTATCTAAAATGTGTCCTAATACAGGTACTTGCCAACTTACGACCACAAGGGAACCCAAAATTTAGGTTACTAAGTGAGACACTTGTTAAGTGAGTGTTGCCTCATTTTATGGCCTTTCTTGCCACAGTGCTTAACTGAATCGGTGTAGTTATTAAGTTAATAAAACGGTTGTTAAGTGAGTCTGCCTCCCCCGTTGACTTTTCCCCATCTTCGTGGTCGTGATCAAAATTCATTTGTTTGGCAACCAACACAACTGCCTCGCTTAGCAGCGGCACTGAAAAAAGTGGCTTATGGCCATTTCCATAGCAGCCCCACGGTCATGTGACCCAAATTCAGGTGCTTGGCAACTGCTTCCTACTTACGACCGTTGCCGTGTCCCAGGGTCAGGCGATCTCTTTGGCCACCTTCTGACAAGCAAAATCATTGGGGAAGCCAGATTCACTTAACGACTGTCTTGCTAACTTATTAACTGCAGTGATGCACTTAACAATGGTGGCAAGGAAGGTGGTAAAATGGGGCAAAAGTCACTTAACAAATGCCTCGCTTAACAAGACAAATTTTGGGCTGAATTGTGGTCGTAAGTTGAGGACTACCTGTATTGGATTAGAAGGCCTGCAAGTCTGTAATTGTGACCCCTCATTTCAACTCTCCTCCTTCATTACAACCGCATCCTGGATGATGGAGGGTGAACTTGCCCCAACTCAAGAGCGTCAGCTCTGACGGACATTTTTCTTTTGTTTTCAGTGCCGAGCTGAAACTCCTGGAAGAAGCTTCGGTGTCTGTCTGCAAGTCTTTAGGTAAGAGGCTGCCTCCTGCCTGCCCTTCCTTCCTTCCTTTCCATGCTGTGCGTTCCCTCAGCTTTCCTAGCAAATTGCTCTTCTCTTGTCTAGCCCAGGGATAGGCCACCTTGGCTCTTTTATGGCTCCTGGACTTCAACTCCCAGAATTCCTGACTCAGCTGTGCTGAGAGAACAGGGAGAGGTTTCCAAGCTGAGCCAGGCTGGCTCAGGAATTCTGGGAGTTGAAGTCCACGAGTCATGAAGGGGCCAGGTTTGAAGACCCCTACCCTAGGCCTAGAGTCTAGACCAGGGGCAGGTAACCTTGGCTCTTTTATCGCTCCTGGACTTCAACTCCCAGAATTCCATGCTGAGGGGAAAGGGAGAGGTTTCCAAGCTGAGCCAGGCTGGCTCAGGAATTCTGGGAGTTGAAGTCCACGAGTCATGAAGGGGCCAGGTTTGAAGACCCCTACCCTAGGCCTAGAGTCTAGACCAGGGGCAGGTAACCTTGGCTCTTTTATCGCTCCTGGACTTCAACTCCCAGAATTCCATGCTGAGGGGAAAGGAAGAGGTTTCCAAGCTGAGCCAGGCTGGCTCAGGAATTCTGGGAGTTGAAGTCCACGAGTCATAAAAGAGCCGAGGTTGCCTGCCCCTGGCCTAGAGCAGTGATGGCGAACCTTTTAGAGACCCAGTGCCCAAACTGCAACCCAAATCCCACTTATTTATCACAGGGTGCCGGGTGGGCGTGGCTACAGTGGTCATGGCAGATGGTGGGTGGGGCCAGGGCAGCAGGGGCCAGTCCCTCACCATCTCTGGGGCATGGCATGGATGCCCACAGAGAGGGCTCTGAGTGCCGCCTCTGGCATGCGTGCCATAGGTTCGCCACCACTGGCCTAGAGTCTATTCCAGGGGTAGGCAGCCTTGGCTCTTTTATGACTGGTGGACTTCAACTCCCAGAATTCCTGAGCCATCCATGCTGAGGGAAAAGGGAGAGGTTTCCAAGCTGAGCCAGGCTGGCTCAGGAATTCTGGGAGTTGAAGTCTACCAGTCATGAAGGGGGCCATAGTTCCCCCATGCTGGCTCAGGAATTCTGGGAGTTGAAGTCCACAAGTCATGAAGGGGCCAAGTTTGAAGACCCCTAGCCTAGGCCTAGAGTCTAGACCAGGGCTAGGCCACCTTGGCCCCTTCATGAGTCGTGGACTTCAACTCCCAGAATTCCTGAGCCAGCCGTGCTGAGGGGAAAGGGAGAGGTTTCCAAGCTGAGCCAGGCTGGCTCAGGAATTCTGGGAGTTGAAGTCCACCAGTCATAAAAGAGCCGAGGTTGCCTATCCCTGGCCTAACCCTTTTTCTTTCTGATGCATTTAATGTCTCCCATCTGTGATCTGCACACGAGGCTTTAAAAAAAAACCCCACGCTTTGTTTTGAGGGCTCGAAGCAGTCATATTGCGCCCGCATGTGCTATTTGAACCAAAAGTTTTCACAGCTTTTTGCTTTATGTTGCATGCTGTCATAGGAAGTGGCTTGGGTGCAGTTCTATTACGTTCTAGTGGAGGAACAGGTTGTTTTTCTTCTCTCTCTTTTAAGAAAAGGATTTAAATGCGTCTGTTCAGAAGAAAATGTGTGTAGGAGATAAAAGCAGAAATGGAGCATGAAAAGTGCTTGATAATTGGTGTCAAATGCTTCTTCAAAATGCTGCATTTTGACCCCGTCTAAAATCCCCCCGTGATTCAAATGTGAACAAAACAACGGGCTTTCCGAACTCTGCTGCGGTATATGGATCCAGATGAATAGTTTTTGAGCTCTGTGACACGGTCAGAATTTTATGAAACTGCCATTTGCGGCTTTGTCTGAACTTTATGAAACTATCTGAAATGTAAGAATTAGACATGGGAAACGAGAAGGTTAATATCAGTAGCTCCATCTTGAATGTTCTATGGAGGTCCTCAGTCCTCCAGGTCATGGCAGTGTCCCATGGGTGCTTTTTCAAGACGCAACTGGACTTTCTTGTTTTTCTTTGGAGACATTTCGCTTCTTTCTTTCTTTCTTTCTTTCTTTCTTTCTTTCTTTCTTTCTTTCTTTCTTTCTTTTTTATTTATTTATGAATGAATGAATGAATGAGACTTATATACAGCTTTAAGTGCAAGCACTCTCTAAGCGGTGTACACCAGTAAGCAATGTATATATATATTTACATTGCCCCCAACAATCTGGGTCCTCATTTTACCTAACCCGGAAGGATGGAAGGCTGAGTCAACCTTGAGCCGGTGAGATTTGAACCGCTGACCTGCTGAACACAGTCGGCTAAAGTGGCCTGCAGTACTGCACTCTAACTGCTGCATCACCTCGGCTCTTGTCCCAGAAGCTTCTTCAGCTCTGACCGGATGGTGGGGAATGGAAGGATTTATACTCCTTGCAGACAGCCGGTCATTTGCATCCTTTTAGAGGGTCGTTGAGGCCGCTTGGAGGTTTAGCTGTGTCCTCAGGGTCACCTAAGTTGTGCAAATATGTGTAGAGCCTTCTTGTAACTCTTGAAAGGACTGTGTTGTAGGCTGGGATCTGACATCATCTGTTTCCAGTCTACAACGCAGTTCCAAGAAGGCTCCACACCCATTTGCACCACTCAGGTGACCCTGAGCACACAGGTAAACCCCCAAGTGGCCTAAATGACATGCTAAAAGAATACAAATGACCAGCTGTCTGCAAGGAGTGTAAATCCTTCCATTTCCCACCATCCAGAGCTGAAGAAGCATCTTGGATGAGAAGAGAAACGTCTTAAAAGAAACACAAAGAAAGTCCAGTTGCCTTTTGAAAAAGCACCTTTGGGACTTCTTGAATTCTCCTTTTCCCCTATTTTAAAGCATGTTGTCTCATCTATTTGAAATATGGCACCTTGAGGCTTCTTTGATGGCTAAACATCTCCTGCAATGCCTGGCTGAGCATACCAGCTCAGTAAATGTGTGGAACAAATTTACAAAGAAAGAGGTAAATTCTTTGTTAAGTTTGAGTGTCCTACCCGGGTAAGAGGACAAAGGCTTGCAAATCTCATGTTTAAACTAGATAGAATCCTTGTACAATCTGAAACGTTACCTAACTTTTCCTGATCTTCTTCCTAGTGGAGAATAATCCTCGGACAGGAAATCTTGCTTCGCTGATTAAAGTCTTCCTTTCCAGAACCAAAGAATTACAGATTTCAGCAGAATGTCAGAAGTAAGTGTGTTGTGTTACTTGCTGATTTTTGTTACTGCAAAACGCAAATGCCAAACCCAACCATGGTTTGAAATGCACACAGTTGCTGCTGAGGGGGCTGGCTGATCGCTTCAGGAGCCCAGCTAATTGTATTTTATGAAGTCTGAGTCCTTCATTAATGGTCTCAAAGACCTTTCCGTCAAAAACTGCTGGGAGATGATGATAAGGGTTCCTACTGTTTTGTGGCAGGAAACATACAAAAACTGTAGCACACGCATTGATTTAAGGATAACATTTTCTAAAACCAGGAAAGGCCAAATGGGTATCCCCCAATTCCCATTTTTTTTAAAAAAAAGGTAAATAAATTAAATGCTCCATCACCTGAAGGCACGACAAGAAGGAAATCAGTCAAGGAGAGAAGCAACCTAGAACTAAGGAGAAACTTCCTGACAGTGAGAACAATTAACCAGTGGAACTACCTGCCTCCAGAAGTGGTGAATGCTCCAACACTGGAAGTTTTTAAGAAGAGACTGGACAGCCATTTGTCTGAAATGGTATAGGGTTTCCTGCCTCAGCAGGGGGTTGGACTAGATGACCTCCAAGGTCCCTTCCAACTCTATTTATTCTGTCATCCCATCTTGCTTGATTCAGTCCATCTGTCTGATACGATCAGACATACTCTACATAATTCTCCCAACATCTGGGGATCTGGCTTTCCAAAAATGGAGTTGCTGGCCTCTAAAATTGTATCTGCTTGACTAATAGTACCATATGTTCTGCACGGTGTTAACCACCCGACTGCTCCACGTTGCTAAGGTCACATTGCATCCAATGACATCAGTAATGAAAAGAATTAGAGACACGGGACTTTTTCTGCTTGACAGCTCCACAGAAAGGAGGCGACTCAGGGAGATTATTATTTTTTTTTGATAGACCATGGATTATAGAAAGCGACTCGCAAGGGACAAGCTGACAACATTGTACAATATTATGAAATTATACCCATGCTTCATATTTGTCAAGGTTTGGAATTGCAGCTAGTAGCCCTTTCTGCATTGTCTGGGATTCAGTACTTTCCTGTTCAGTCAAATAATAATAATAATAAAGTTGGAAGGGATCTTGGAGGTCATCTAGTCCAACCCCCTGCTCAGGCAGGAAACCCATATCAGACAAATAGCACACGCAGAAGGCAGGATCTGGGGATGCACTTAGGTCAGGGTTAGTCAGATCCCACTTTTTGCCTATGTGCCTCCCTAATTTTATGGAATAAATCTGCTCCTCTGATCTGCTGGCATCTGCTTGAGAATGTGAAGAGAACTGGGTGACCTTGGGCCAGGCCCTCTCTTTCTCTCTCAGCCCAGGCCACCTTGCAAGGTTGTTGTTGTGGGGAAACAGGAGGGGAAGGGATATTAGCGATTTTCACCACTTTAAAAGATTTATAAAATATTTATAAAAATATTAAGTTGTGATATAAACACACAAATAAAAAAGTGGATAGATAGATAGATAGATAGATAGATAGATAGATAGATAGATAGATAGATAGATAGATAGATAGACAGAGACAGACAGACAGACAGACAGACAGACAGACAGACGGATAGATATATAGACGGATAGATATAGATGATGGAGAGACAGAGATACAGAGATTGATAGATATAGATAGATGATAGATAGATGTAGAGAGAGATTGATAGATATAGATAGATTGATAGATATAGATAGATGATAGATGTAGATAGATTGATAGATATAGATAGATGATAGATGTAGAGAGAGATAGAGAGATAAATTGATAGATATAGATAGATGTAGAGATAGAGATAGATAAATAGATAGATACAGATAGAGAGAGAGGGGGAGGGAAGGAGGGATGGATATAATAAATGAGCATTTCATGTCATGAACGTCTTGTGATGAATGCAGATCCTTGACTTACAACCACAACGCAGCCCAAAATTCCCATTGCTAAGCGAGAGAGAGTCATTTTGTCCCATTTTATGACTTTTCTTGCCTTAGCTCTTAAGTAAATTATTTTTGCCGCTCTTAGTAACCTGGTTGTAAGCCGAACCTGGCTTCCCTGTTGGCTTTGTGTGTTGGAGGGTCGTGGGAAATGGCGATGTGGCCCCCAGGCAATGGCGGCCATCCAAAATACGGAGCCGGGGGCCAAAGTGTCTGGATTTCGATCCCGTGACCTGTGGAGGTGCTGCAACGGCCACAAGTGTAAAAAACGGCCCCATGTCACTTTTTCCAGTGCCGTTGAAATTTTGGACGGTCAGTAAACAAGTGGTTGTAAGCCAAGGACACCCTGTGTCTTGAAGGTTGTCTTCTTTCTCTGTGTTTGGTGCTCAGCTCCTGAAAGTCCCGTTTCTCTTCCAGCCACCTCTTCATCTGGCAGGCCCAGAACGCCCTCTTCCTTATTTGCTGCCTGCTGAAAGTTTTGATCTGTCAGATGCCAGAAGAGCAACTGCAGCTTCACTTCACCTATGAGGAAAAAACCCCGGGCTCCTACGGTAAATATTGAGTTATTCCAAGAGAACAGACGGCGTCCCGCCTTGGCCAAAAGGTTTATCATTCCGCAGAACGTTCGTTCTTACACTTCCTGGTTGGTGTCTCACAATACGTTGTCCATCGCTCATTTTATCCTAAACAGAATTGTATGCAAAAGGTGGGAGAGAATGGATGTTCCAGAGCAACCTTGGCTCTTTTATGACTCATAGACTTCAACTCCCAGAATTCCTCAGCCAGCACGGGGGAACTATGGCCCCCTCAACTCCCAGAATTCCACGAGTCATAAAAGAGCCAAGGTTGCCTACCTCTGGCCTAGGCCTAGGTCGCTTTATGACTGGTGGACTTCAACTCCCAGAATTCCCGAGCCAGCCTGGCTCAGCTTGGAAACCTCTCCCTTTCCCCTCAGCATGGCTGGCTCAGGGATTCTGGGAGTTGAAGTCCAGGAGTCATAAAAGAGCCAAGGTTGTCTATCCCTGTTCCAGGGACTTCCCCTCAAGGATCCCTTGAGATAGGAAGAGATTGAATCGGAAAAGGAGTTGGGTATTGGGGCAAAACCCTGATCGGAATAATTCTGCTCTTAAGGGGCTGCCACAAAACCCCCTTAAGATCAGTGCCACAACGAAGGGAGGAGGGGTCCACCTATTATCCAAAGCCCCTGAAGTCAGGATGAGAAGCAACGGATGGAAACTCATCAAGGAGAGAAGCAACCTGGAACTAAGGAGAAACTTCCTGACAGTGAGAACAATTAACCAATGGAACAACCTGCCTCCAAAAGCAGTGAATGCTCCAACACTGGAAGTTTTTAAGAAGAGACTGGACAGCCATTTTTCCGAAATGGTATAGGGTTTCCTGCCTGAGCAGAGGGTTGGACTAGATGACCTCCAAGGTCCCTTCCAACTTTATGGTGGTGATGATGATGATGATGATGATGATCATTGCACAGTCAGCCAGATGTTCAGGCTGGATTTGGCATTTTGTCTACCTATCGAGTCCTTACCCAGGACCTGGGATAGGCAGATGTGGATGTTTGATGGTATTACAGATATCGTCGCAGGATGGAAGCAGTTCCTAGTAAGGCCGCCTTTTGCAATTGACTAATAGCGAATTTGTCAATGCCGATGATGGTGTTCAAGTGGTGCTCCAGTTGTTTTGGGATTGCACCCAAGGAGCCTATTGGAAGATCTGCAAGAAATACCATTTGCCTGTAAGCAAGAACTGGTGGGATCATAAAATAGAGAAAGTTAAACGGCTCTGGGACTTCAGAATTCAAACAGACAAGCACCTGCAACATAACACCCCAGACTTAACAATTGTCGATAAGAAAGACAAAAAAGTCTGGATAGTGGACGTGGCAGTGCCTGGAGATAGCAGAATAGAAGAGAAAGAACTGGAGAAGATAACAAAATACAAAGACCTACAAATAGAAATAGAAAGACCGTGGCAAAAGCAAGCAAGGGTAGTACCAATAGTAATAGACTATTACTACTACTACTACTACTACTACTACTACTACTACTACTACTACTACCAGTCTTGCTTAGCAACAGAAATTTTGGGCTCCGTTGTGGCCATAGTGGGAGGACTGCCTGTCGTGGTTTTTCTTTACCCCATCTCCTAGTTCCACCTGGGAGTGGGAGAGAGTTACTAACCCCTTCCCCAACCATTGAGAAATATTTATATTATTTTGTTCCAGGCAAGTAAACGCTTAAAGAATTGTTCCTGTTACTCAAAGCAGCAAAACCATCTGGGTGCTAAGTTGGTTGAAGAAAGTGACACATTTCTTTGGCCTTGTTTAACGAACCATCTTTGAACACAGAAAGAGAAGCTGCTTGTGTGTGTGTGGTCTGTTGCTTTGGAGCGGGACCCAAAAGCCAGGAAATTGGAATTCCTCTTTGGTGTGATCTGCGCTGCACTCTGATCTTCTGCCAGTTGATTGTTTCCTGTTTTAGTTTTCCCTTCTGTAAAATTGGAATTATTTCCTCTGTTCCGGGAGGTGGCGAAGCTCAGAGAAGGATGCCATATCACCTTCCCTTTGTGTTAGGACACAATGCCGTGAACTCAACTTGCACTGAAAAGCTCCCCTAAAGTGTGTCAATATTGTAGGTGCAAACTGTTAGGATGTTCCCAAATAGCCAGAAGGTAAAAGAGGGAAAAACAGGATCTGGATGTTTAGGGATGCGGCGAAGCAGACAAATGAAAGCAATTGGATTTTTAGGCTTTGGCTTAATGCAGGGGTCTTCAGACTTGGCCACTTTAAGACTTGTGGACTTCAGCTCCCAGAATTCCTCAGCCAGCCCCTTAGGGCTGGCTGAGGAATTCTGGGAGTTGAAGTCCACAAGTCTTAAAGTGGCCAAGTCTGAAGACCCCTGGCTTAAGGACTGGGCTGGAGGGAAAGGCATTTCCCAAAGCTGATTTTGTGATAATTCTGTGGGCAAGGGCTGAGCTGGAAGAATTGCTAACTGCACCTCGGTTGGCCAGTGGTCAGCCATCTTTACCTTTCTGATGCCCCGGCCTTGCGTGACGAAGGGAAACATAGAACCTAATTTATTTATGAATCACAGAGGGTTTTTTTTTTAATGCAAATACATGTTCATTTTCTTCGATGTTATCCCTACTTACCTTACGAAGGTAAAACTAGTGACCTCTTCCATGTTGGGGCATGTCCTAGTTATAGTTTGTGATAAGCAGAGTAACAGAATAACAGAGTTGGAAGGGACCTTGGAGGTCATCTAGTCCAACCCCTTACTCGGGCAGGAAACCCCATACCATTCCAGACAAGGGGCTGTCCAGTCTTTGCTTAAAAACTTCCAGTGTTGAAGCATTCACCACTTCTGTAGGCAGGTTGTTCCACTGGTTAATTGTTCTCAGGAAATTTCTCCTTAGTTCTAGTTTGCTTCTCTCTTTGATTAATTTCCATCCATTGCTTCTTGTCCTGCCTTCAGGCGCTTTGGAGAATAGCTTGACTTCCTCTTCTTTGGGGCAGTCCCTGAGATATTGGAACTCTGCTATCCTGTCCCCCCTTGTCCTTCTCTTCATTTATCTAGGGCAGTGGTTCTCAACCTGTGGGTCGGGACCCCATTTGGGGTCGAACGACCATTTCACGGGGGTCGCCAAACAACGCAGTCCGCCATTTTTTTCCCCCTTTTCCTTGGCTGTGCTACTCCCTTTTATTCTATTGGCTTTTGAAAGCCAATAGAATAGACTCTCTTGAATAGAGTCTAATTCTATTGGCTTTCAAAAGCCAATAGGAATTGTCCAGGCTGTCTCTGCCCTGCTGAGCCCGCCAAAATTCCCATTCTGCAAACGGTGCTGCACCAGTTGAGTAGTCCTCGACTTACGACTGGTTGAGTAGTCTTCAACTTACGACCAGTTGGGGGTTGCGGCATTAAAAAGGTTGAGAACCACTGATCTAGACCTACCGAATTCCAGCAACTTTCCTTATATGTTTTAGCCTCCAGTCCCCTGATCATCTTAGTTGCTCTTCTCTGCACTCTTTCTAGAGTCTCAACATCTTTTTTACATCTTGGTGACCAAAACTGGATGCCGTATTCCAAGTGTGGCCTTACCAAGGCCTTGTAAAGTGGTTTTAATATTTCACGTGATCTTGATTCTGTCCGTCTCTTGCACTGCATTAGCGTTTTTGGCTGCTGACCCACACGGCTGGCTCATATTTAAGGATTATCCACTAGGACTCCAGGATCCCTCTCACGGTTACTGCTTTTGAGCCAGGTTTCACCCAGTCGCTACCTGTGCATTTGTTTTTTCTTGCCTAAGTGTAAAGCCTTACCTTTCTCTACATTGAAGTTCATTTTGTTGGATAGGGCCCAGTGTCAAGTTTGTCAAGATCCATCTAGATCAGGAGACTTCAAACTTGGCCCTTTTGCCACTTGTGGACTTCAATTCCCAGAATTCCTCAGCTAGGCATGCTGGCTGGGGAATTCTGGGAGTTGAAGTCCATAAGTCATAAAAGGGCCAAGTTTGAAAACCCCTGATCTGGATCTTGAGCCTATCACCTGGGGTGTTGGATGATGGAAGGAAATGGAAGGTGGTCAGTTTGGGTATCCCAAATGCAATGCAAATTTAGCCTATCCCCTTTTCAACTTCCTTATCTAAATTGTAATTTTGCCCCCTCGGTCTGTTACAAAAGAAATTTATTCTGATGATTGATGTTTTTGTCCTGGGGAAACAAACTGTACTGCTTTGAATCAGGGCATTATTCCTTTAAATCAATCATTCCTACCAGATGGATCCGTAGCTGGCTGACTGGCTGTACTCAGCGTGTGGTCCTCAATGGAACTGCATCTGCATGGAGGGAAGTGTGTATTGGGGTGTCCCAGGGCTCTGTTCTGGGCCCAGGGCTCTTCAACATCTTCATCAACGATTTGGATGAAGGGATAGATGGGGAACTCATCAAATTTGCAGATGACACCAAGCTGGCAGGAATAGCCAACACTCCAGAAGACAGGCTTAAGATACAGAAGGATCTGGACAGACTTGAACACTGGGCGCTATCTAACAAAATGAAATTCAGTGTAAGGTTCTACATTTAGGCAAGAAAAACCAAATGCACAGGTATGGGATAGGGGGTACCTGGCTCAATAGCAGTAACTGTGAGAGGGATCTTGGTGTCCCAGTGGACAAACACTTAAATATGAGCCAGCAGTGTGTTGCAGTTGCCAAAAAGGCCAACACAGTGCTGGGCTGCATTAACAGAGGGATAGAATCAAGATCACGTGAAGTGTTAATACCACTCTACAAGGTCTTGGTAAGGCCACACTTGGAATCCTGCATCCAGTTTTGGTCACCACGATGTAAAAAAGATGTTGAGACTCGAAAGAGTGCAGAGAAGAGCAACAAAGATGATCAGGGGACTGGAGGCTAAAACATACAAGGAACGGTTGCTGGAATTGGGGATGTTTAGTTTAATGAAGAGAAGGACGAGGGGCGACAGGATAGCAGTCTTCCAATATCTCAGGGGCTGCCCCAAAGAAGAGGGAGTCAAGCTCTTCTCCAAAGCCCCTGAAGGCAGGAGAGGAAGCAATGGATGGAAACTAATCAAAGAGAGAAGCAAACTAGAACTAAGGAGAAATTTCCTGAGAACAATTAATCAGTGGAACAACCTGCCTCCAGAAGCAGTGAATACTGCAACCCTGGAAGTCTTTAAGAAGAGACTGGACGGCCATTTGTCTGAAATGGTATAGTGTTTCCTGCCTGAGCAGGGGGTTGGACTAGATGACCTTCAAGGTCCCTTTCATCATCATTATTATTATTATTATTATCATCATCATCATCTAAGTCTCTGAACTCTGTATGCTGAGATCAGTAACTTGAAATCAGGGTATGCCACAGTCTGTTTTTCTGTAGATTTACACTAAAATATAAGGGAGTCAACATCATCTGATAGCTATATTGGACTAAGCAAAGAAACTTTACTTATTTTGAGTAGTTATGTACTGCAGTATTTAAGTCTGAATAAACTACAAAGCAGTTGTTTTGTTGATTGGGAATTATAGTGACTGGAAACAAGATCAAAATTGGCCGTGTGCAAATTTTCCTGGAGAATTAAGCCTTGATTTATTAATTCTGCAAAGAATAATACTTGCTTGAATGGAACTGAATGACAAAGCAAAAAGAATTATAGATTAGGTTTCTGTTCATTTTCTACCAAAAATGTTTTGATAAGCTCCTTCCTTACAGTTTAATTTCTGTATGATACAGGCTTTTAACCAATTTCTAGATAAGTATGTTCTATTTACAGTCCCTTATGTGTTGAAACCACTGGAGAACAGAGCTGGCAACTTTCCAGGAGGTGTAATAGTAACAACCTGAAAAGATGGAATTTTAGATTTGAACCCAGTTCCCAGCCTGTATTTCAACCTGCTGTTTTTGAGCCATTTTTTTAAAATGCCCTATTTACAAAAAAGATGTTGAAGTTTAAACTTTGGTAACTGGAAGTTCGGATGAAATTTGTCCCTGTAAAAGTTTGGAAGAAAGATTACTATGCTAATGTTGAAATATCCAATAAAATTTCCTTATTTTCTTTTAGCATCTGAATATGAAGATCTTCTGGAAGAATTGCTCTGCTGCCTCGTTCAGCTGATTGTTGAGGTTCCTCTTCTGTAAGTATATACTGAATGTTCTCTTTCCCTTGGGGTTCCCTCCAGACGCAGTTCGATTCCAATACCCCCAACCCCCAGGCCTCACAGTCGCCTTGGAAAGGGAGGTCCCCACATACTTCAGAAATGGTGGGTGCTCCATCAATGGAGGTCTTAAAGAAGAGGCTGGACAGTCACTTGCTCAATAGTAGCAACTGTGAGAGGAACCTCGGAGTCCTAGTGGACAATCACTTGAATAGGAGCCAGCCGTGTGCAGCAGCTGCCAAAAAGGCCAACACAGTGCTGGGCTGCATTAACAGAGGGAGAGAATCAAGATTACATGAAGAGTTAATACCACTTTACAAGGCCTTGGTAAGGCCACACTTGGAATCCTGCATCCAGTTTTGGTCACCACGATGTAAAAAAGATGTTGAGACTCTAGAAAGCGTGCAGAGAAGAGCAACTAAGATGATCAGGGGACTGGAGGCTAAAATATACAAGGAACGGTTGCTGGAATTGGGGATGTCTAGTTTAACAAAGAGAAGGACGAGGGGGGACATGATGGCAGCCTTCCAGTATCTCAGGGGCTGCCCCAAAGAAGAGGGAGTGAAACTATTCTCTAAAGCGCCTGAAGGCAGGACAAGAAGCAACGGATGGAAACTCATCAAGGGGAGAAGCAACCTGGAACTAAGGAGAAACTTCCTGACAGTGAGAACAATTAACCAGTGGAACAACCTGCCTCCAGAAGCTGTGAATGCTCCAACACTGGAGGTTTTTAAGAAGAGACTGGACAGCCATTTGTCTGAAATGGTATAGGGCAGTGGTGGCGAACCTATGGCACGGGTGCCAGAGGCGGCACTCTGAGCCCTCTCTGTGGGCACACGCGCTGTCGCCCCAGTCCTAGGCCTTCAGCTGGGTTTTATAAAACCTTTTCGCTTTAGGCCTCCACCGCCGTGTGCAAAAGAAAAAAGGTTCAATCAATCAATTTCAACTTCTCACGGGAAAAAAAAAAGATCACGCAAAGTTGGAATTGATTGATTAAACTTTTTACTCCCGCCCACTGAAGCCATGCTCACCCAAAGGGCCACGCCTACCCAATTGGCCACACCCACTCAATTGACCACACCCATCCAGCACCCGATGATACATAAGTGGGTTTTGGGTTGCAGTTCAGGCACTCGGTCTTTAAAAGGTTCGCCGTTGCTGGTATAGGGTTTCCTGCCTGAGCAGGGGGTTGGACTAGGTGACCTCCAAGGTCCCTTCCAACACTATTTATTTATTTATTTATTTATTCATTTATTTAATAGAATGGCTGACTTGGGACAACCTTGGAACTGGTAGCGATTGAATGTAATTCTGCGTGACTTAATAGATATTTCTTGTTTTAATTTTTATGGATGAATATAAACATAGGTAGGAGGAGAAATGGAAGCGCTGAGCCGTCTGAGGTTTTGTCTGCATTCCAGGGAATGACTGAGGAGCAAAGACATCTTAATTCCCTTTTGTAGCTGCTGAATCCCCTTCCTTCCTTTCTATGGAGGTGGAAGCATTAACTGGGAATATTTCCTGTTCTTTCCTTTTAAATAGAGGATGGCAGGAGAGGTCACTGTTTGGGTTTTGGCTCCCCGTTGTTTTTTAGAAGTAAACTGAGAAGCTTCCTAAGCATTTCTCAAACAACCATCGCCAGTGTATTCTTTGCCTGCATGTTTGCTATTCGTGGATGAGGATTTGGAGAGGGTTGCCAAGAGGAAAGATCTCGTTCCCCAAAGATCACCCAACATTCAGTATCCTGAACTGGCTTCAGCATCTTTGGCTAGTTGTCTTCCGCCTTTGTGGTCAGCCCTCAGGAAGTGTGGCAATCAAGCCCTCTTCCCTTTATTATTTGAAGGGAACGATGCTTGAATCCGTCTCTTCTGGCAACGTTCCGAAATTAGCGAACTTTTAACCTCGGATGCTTCCGGTGAAATTCTACTCGTTAGGAGCTGGAGAGTAAGAAGTGGCTTTTGTTCAGAAAAGCTGACGTGGGACAAGCCGATAGGTCAGCGATTCCCAGCAAGGGCACCCAAATATTGTTATCCTGCAGCTCTTATCGGCCCAAAACATCTGGGCATCCAAAGTTGCGAGCCGCTGGTATAAACATTGCAAAGCCTTGATGCCGTTTCGGTATCGCAGATCCGCGAGGCTGAAAAGTCTGAGATAAAAAGTTCTTACCACACAAATCGCTGAAATTAAGGACCCGTTAAGGGCGAGGTACAAAAAGGGGGCAGCCGAGCGAAAGGAATTGCTTCTGAGACGAGACTCTATAATGCTTATAAAGTTTGAAATAGGAGATGGCACGGCGGGCCCAGATAAAATCCAAACTCGGGTTTCGACCCTCTGGAAACGTCACACGCAGAGATTTGGACTCCTCACCAAGTGCAGAGCTGAGCTTTCAAGAAATATGGGAAAGGAGAGCCATGTAGATGTTTTTAAAGGGAAACCCGGAGAAATCCAGACACCAAAACAGAATAACAGAGTTGGAAGGGACCAACCCCTGGTCTGTGGACTGGTACCGGGCCGTGGCATGCCAGCAACCGGGCAGCACAAAAAAGCAAAGCCCCATCTGTGGGATGCAGGCAGCACACAAAAACACACACCCTCCGGTCCGGTCCGTGGAAAATCCTTTCTCCACGGAACCGGTGATCCCTGGTGCCCCAAAGGTTGGGGACCTCCGTTCTAGTCCACTGGTCTCCCTAACCGCTGCAGCTCGGCAGACTGGCAGCGGTGGAGAGGGAGAGGGATGATGTTGCATGCGTGCGCCGCTTTCACAAATGCAGTTTTCTGCTCGTGCACTCGTACACCACTTCCGTGGCCCGGTTCTGAATGGATTGGGGCCCGGCATGGGGCCACAGAATGGGGATTTGGGACTCTAGTCCAACCCCTTGCTCAGGCAGGAGACCCTATACCAGTGTTTCTCAACCTTGACCATTTTAAGACATGTGGACTTCAACTCCCAGAATTCCACAGCCAGCATTGCTGGCTGTGGAATTCTGGGAGTTGAAGTCCACATGCCTTAAAATGGTCAAGGTTGAGAAACACTGCCCTATACCATCTCAGACATGTGACTGTCCAGTCTTTTCTTGAAAACCTCCAGTGATGGAGGCCCACGATGTCTGGAGGCAAAGTGGTTCCACTGGTTGATTGTCCTCACTGTCAGGAAATTTCTCCTTAATTCCAGGTTGCTTCTCTCCTTGATGAGTTTCCATCCCTTTCTTCTCGTCCTGCCCTCGGGCTTTGGAGAAGAGGTTTTCCCCCTCCTTTCTGTGACAGCCCCTGCAACACTGGAATATTGCTATTGTGGCACCCCTAGTCCTTCCCTTCACTAGACTAGCCATGCCCAGTTCTTGCAACCCTTCTTCATAGGTGTAAATTTCTCTAATTTTTTTGTGGGATGGAAAAAGCCAATTTGGTTTAGTGATTAAGGCAGGGGTAGGCAACTATGGTTCTTTTATGACCTGTGGACTTCAACTCCCAGAATTCCTGAGCCAGCATGGGAGAACTATGCCCCCCTCATGATTTGTGGACTTCAACTCCCAGAATTCCTGAGCCAGCCTGGCTCAGCTTGGAAGCCTCTCCCTTTCCCCTCAGCATGGCTGCCTGAGGAATTCTGGGAGTTGAAGTCCACCAGTCATGAGGCGGCCATAGTTTCCCTATGCTGGCTCAGGAATTCTGGGAGTTGAAGTCCACAAGTCATAAAAGAGTCAAGGTTGCCTACCTCTGCCCAAATGCCTGAATTTTGATCATGTGACCGTGAGGAAAAATTTTAAAATATTTAAGCCAGGGGTCTTCAAACCTGGCCCTTTTATCACTGGAAGACTTCAACTCCCAGAATTCCTGAGCCAGCATGGAGGAACTATGGCCCCCCTCATGACTCGTGGACTTCAACTCCCAGAATTCCTCAGCCAGCATGGAGAAACTATGGGCCCCTCATGGTTTGTGAACTTCAACTCCCAGAATTCCTGAGCCAGCATGGCTCAGCTTGGAAACCTCTCCCTTTCTCCTCAGCATGGCTGGCTCAGGAATTCTGGGAGTTGAAGTCCATGAGTCATAAAAGAGCCAAGGTTGCCTACCCCTGGGCTAAGGCATCAGGCAGACAGCAATTTGACCGAGATGGTATAAGGTCTGTTGCCTTGAGTTGTTTATCTTCTTGTTTTTTTCCCCCCTTTCAGGGTTTTCTTACTTGTAAATACTTAAGGGAGAGAATCTGTGGATTAGCGCCAGTGAGAATTGGGGAAGTTTATTTATTTATGAGACTTATATACTGCTTTAAGTGCAAGCACTCTCTAAGCGGTGTACACCAGTAAGCAATGTATATATATATATATATATATATATTTACATTGCCCCCAACAATCTGGGTCCTCATTTTACCTACCCCGGAAGGATGGAAGGCTGAGTCAATCTTGAGCCGGTGAGATTTGAACCGCTGACCTGCTGAACACAGTCAGCTAAAGTGGCCTGCAGTCCTGCACTCTAACTGCTGCGCCACCTCGGCTCAACTTTCTTTGCCAATGACTTTTTTGAGCAAGGTTCATTGCAAACCTGATATTTGCATACAACGTGCAGAAAGACTGTCATTAAATATATATTCATTGGTGTTGATTAACACTTTATGTCTTCATGTGTTGCAGAGACATTACCTACGGCATTTCACTGGAGGCTGTCACAACCCTGGTCGTTTTTCTGTCCTGTCAGCTTTTCCACAAGGAAATTCTGCGGAAGAGCATCATTTATCAGTATCTCATGCGTGGCCGATGGTAGGTCAGACTGCAGGGCTACTATATAAGCAGGCAGCTTTTATTCCCCAATTTCATGAGCACGGCTCTGGCATTTACTCTGTCAAAGCAAATGCTTTTATTTAGCTGCAGGTTAATTTGTGCTCCTGAAAGATCTCCCAGGCTGATAACAGATTGACTCTCTGGGCAATAAGGATTATTTTTATCTCACCTAAACCAACAGGTTGTTAAATAAATACGCTGAGATGAAATTACTGTGTGCATTTCCACTTCATAGTTTTTAGGATAGGGAGTGAATTAGGAGGGCTCTGCATTTTTCACAGCAAGCTTCCCTAAACCCAAGCTAGCCAGAGGCTGTGGGAACTACAGTAGTGGCCAAAATTGTGGGAACCTTTTGGGAAAAGTGTACAGTAGAAATGGCACCTTTGGTTAAGTTTCCACCCATTTTTCCTCTAATTTCTTTATCACTGTAGTCTTGTTCACTTAATAATACTATTTTACATCGCTTTCTGGGCAACGAGTCAACTCTTTGCACCATGACTTTAATTTTATTACCTTTTACAAGCTCACTCAATGAAAGAACACCAAAAAACCCAACCAACTTGATAGCCATCACATAACACACTGACCAATGTCCTCCTCTCAGCTTCAATACATGACATAAATAACTGGATCCTACTGTGATCTGATTGGCTCATGGCCAAAACAAGATGACACCCGATTGGCTCTCTAAACACTCACGCTCATTGGCTACCATCAGAGGAAGGAAAACTACTTGAGATCAACCTAAGCAAGTTGTGCTTCCTTTTTCTGGCTATTTGGCTATAACTTTTCACAGAATACAGTACAGATAATTGGACAAGCTTTGTTGCATTACATTCTTGATTAAATTCTCTTTCCATTGATATATAATTTTATGGTACTACTCCCCCTCAAAAAAAGTGTTATTATTAGCCATCCAATTTCAAAAATGGCACAACTGTGTATTTCAAATATTTAGAATGCACCAAGCCTAAAATTTTAGTTCGCAGGGAATCATTTATCATTTTTCTTTCTGTGAATCTCTAGAGAGAGGTGGACATTTCAATATTTTGAGTATATTAGGACCAGGATCTAAACAGGCTGTCCCAGATGTGCAAATTTCTTCTGCCTTCATTGCTCTGTACCTGTACTGTCTTTTGTATCCCTTTCCCTGTAATGGAACACATAGAACAAATATTTTTATTTTCTGAAACGATTTCTGAATGTATAAAAAGGTCGTGGGAAACTTGTGTTTATTTTCACAGTGTGCAGACTGGCACCTTATTTTTAGCACCTCTGTTAACATATTTAACATATATTCGCTTTTTTAAAATCCAGAAGACTTAAGAGTTTCTAGCAAGACATCCCGTTAGAACAGTGTTTCTCACGCTTAACGGCTTTAAAATGCGCGGACTTCAATTCCCAGAATTGGCTGGGGAATTTGAATTTGAACTCCGGGAATTGAAGTTGCCAAGCTTAAGAAACATTGAATTTTAACTTGAGATGTATCTCTTAACTCAGGGGTCCTCAACCTGGGCCACTTTAAGACTTGTGGACTTCAACTCCCAGAATTCTGGGAGTTGAAGTCCACAAGTCTTAAAGTGGCCCAGGTTGAAGACCCCTGTCTTAAGCGATCCATTTTCACTTTTAAAAGAATACTTTTAAACTTTGGCTTTTTAAGACAGTTTTGCAAAACAGAGTGAAACAAAAGGAATGACTTGACTTGGTTCCAAGCTCAGTCCCAAATCCCCCCGTAAAACTATGGCTCTTTTTTATTATTATTAAAAGTTTTTAAAAATTTTATTACAATATAAACCCTCCCACCCCTCTCCCCTTCCCCCCCTCCCCCACTTCCCAGAGCTGATTACAGGGTAACAAATAAACAAACATTATCTAACTAACATAAACCAACTATACTATCAAACAAAACCATAACACACTTTAACTCCTTCTTAAAGCAAATATTAATAAAACAAAAATAATAATATAATTAAAACTATTAATAATTATCTAAAATCTACGCAAAAGCAAGATAATACTTTTCAGTTTCATATTTCTTTGGAATATAATCAATCCATCTTCTCCAAACCATAATGTACAACTTGGGCTCTTTTGTGTCGCCAGCCTCGGGTACACCAGCCGACTGGTGAAAACCTTGCTGTACAACTTCATCCGTCAAGAGCGGAGCCCTCCTCCCAGCTCCCATGTCTTCCAGCCGGAGTCCGAAGGAGGAGGACTACTATACGGAATCGCGTCCGGAGTAGCAAGTGAGTTGCATTGCTGCCACGGCCGCCTGCCTCTTTGTCCATCAGGCATTTCGTGCTTTCGTCCATCTGTGTGTGTGTGTGTGAGTGTATTTGGGGCACCTCAGATATCTCAATATAAGCCTTTTCTCCCGCTTGTAACAAACAGAAGTAGCCTATTTTTGTCGTGACCTGGAATCCACATAGTTCCGCCTTGCTTTCGAACAGGTGTAATGCGTTTTTACGTTTATTCGTATCCCGCCTTTATTATTTTTACAAATGAAACAAGCCAGGGAACATAACTAATACAGATAGTCCTCGACTTATAATAGTTCAGTGATGGCGAACCTTTTAGAGACCAAGTGCCCAAACCACAACCCACAACCCACTTATTTATTGCAAAGGGCCAGGGCCTCATCAGCATTGTGGTGTCCTCGGGGTTGGGGGTGTGCGTGGCCAACTGGGTGGGCATGGCAGGGTTGGGGAGATCCAGGGGGTCTCTGGTGTGTGGGCAGTGGGCAGGAGGCTTGTCCTGTGGGATGAGGCAGGGGGTGGGGTGGGGGTACCATTGCTGCGGGGCGAGGCAGGGGTGACTGCTGCCTGACACCATCAGCCCCTGCACACAGAGGCCAGTGAGTGCATGGGGAGGCATGCTCTACCACCTCTACTCAAGCTTGCTAGCCAGCTGTTCGCCTCCTTTGTGCTGGGTGGGGCTGCCATTCCGGGTGCCAGCGGTGGCCTAATGGACCTGTGTGAGCTGGCAGTGGTGGCGGCAGATGTGCCCACAGAGAGAGCTCTGAGTGCTGCCTCTGGCACGCATGCCATAGGTTTGCCATCATTGTAATAGTTCATTTAGTGACCATTGAGTTACAACATCACTAGAATTGGATATGTCTGGTTTAATGAAGAGAAGGACGAGGGGGGACAGGATAGCAGCCTTCCAGTATCTCAGGGGCTGCCCCAGAGGAGAGGGAGTCAAGCTCTTCTCCAAAACGCTTGAAGGCAAAGACAAGAAGCAACGGATGGAAACCCATCAAGGAGAGAAGCAACCTGGAACTAAGGAGAAACTTCCTGACAGTGAGAACAATTAACCAGTGGAACCACCTGCCTCCAGAAGCAGTGGATGCTCCAACACTGGAAGTCTTTAAGAAGAAACTGGACAGCCATTTGTCTGAAATGGTCTAGGGTTTCCTGCCTGAGCAGGGGGTTGGACTAGATGACCTCCAAGGTCCCTTCCAACTTTACTGTTATTGTTATAAATGAAAGGACTACTGACTCGTGACCACCTTTCTCACAGCCATGGCAACGTCCTCATGGTCACGTGGTCAAAATTCAGACGCTTTTGCAGACGATTCATAGTTATGACCGTGGCAACGTTCTGGGGGTCACGGGATCCTCCCTGAACGGCAGTCAAGGGGGAAGCCAGACGCAATTAACGACGGTCTTAACTAACTTAAGAACTGCAGCGATTCGCTGAACAACTGTAGCAAGAAAGGTTGCAAAATGGGGCAAATTTCACTCCGCAACTGTCTCGCTTAGCAATGGAAATTTTGTGCTCAATTGGTAGTTGTAAGTCAAGGACTAACTGTACTCTTTCCTCCTCCTATTTTTCCTACAACAAACACCCTTTGGGATGAGTTGGGATGAGTGAGAGAGACTAGCCTAAGGTGACCCAGCTGGCTTTCATGCCAAAGGCGGGACTAGAACTCACAGTCTCCTAGTGATTGGCCCGAAGTCACCCAACCTTCTTTCATGCCTAAGGCGGGACTAGAACTCTCAGTCTCCTGGTGATTGGCCCAAAGTCACCCAGCCAGATTTCATGCCTAACATGGGACTAAAACTCACACTCTCATGGTGATTGGCCCAAAGTCACCCAGCCGGCTTTCGTGCCTAAGGCAGGACTAGAACTCCAGTCTTCTGGTGATTGGCCCAAGGTGACCTAGCTGGCTATCATGCCTAAGGCGGGATTAGAACCCACTGTCTCCTGGTGATTGTTCCAAGGTGACCCAGCTAGCTTTCATGACTAAGGCAGGACTAGAACTCACCGTCTCCTGGTGATTGGCCCAAGGTAACCCAGCTGGCTATTATGCCTAAGGCGGGACTAGAACTCTCAGTCTCCTGGTGATTGGCCCAAGGTAACCCAGCTGGCTATTATGCCTAAGGCGGGACTAGAACTCTCAATCTGCTAGTGATTGGCCCAAGATGACCCAGTTGGCTTTCATGACTAAGGCGGGACTAGAACTCACCATCTCCTAGTTTCTAGCCCGGTACTTTAACCGCTAGACCAGATTGGCTCTATGTTTAGCCCTGTAGATACGTCCTTTTCGTCTCCTTGGTAAATCTCATAAAAAAATATCGTAATTCATCTTTTTGTGAACCTTGGCAATCAGTTTGTGCTTCGTTTCAGTAGCAGCTGCACGTCTAGCTGTGCTTTCCTTTCTACGCAACGTCAGCCAGCACCTGCCTGGCCCGGCGCAGTGACACACAGTGCTCGGACAGGCCTTTCCCTTCTCTTGTGATAGGAATTGTGTTTGGCTTACCCAGCTTGTTTGGATATCTGTTTTCAGCATGAATCAATTCCGTGTCTATAGGGAATGCTAACAAGCCCTAACCACAGCGCTCTGTGTGTGGTGCAAAGACCTTCATATGTGTTTTATTTCCTCTTTCTCTCCTCCCTCTTTGTAACTCTCCTGCAACAAAAAAAAAACAATTAAACCAAATTGTCTGCACTTCCTCACGGTTAAAGACCCCACAATGAACTAAATGCTAATCCTGAACATATTTATACCCTTAATGTTTTTCTTAAGGCAATAGAAAGCAGTGAAGAAGAGTCTTGGATGACTTGAGATGCAAGTATTATACATCTGTAGGCCTTCATTTAGCCACTATGGGTTTTAAGTCAGGTTAACAACAACAACAAAAATCCCCTGTAGCTTTGGTAATAGAGCCATCATCCAGATATTTAGACTGGATATGGCATTTTTATCCGCCTATTGAGTCCTTCCCAAAGATCTGGGATAGGCAGATGTTGTTTGGATGGTGTTAAAGGCGTCGTCACAGGATGTAAGCTGTTCTGAGCAAAGCTGCCTTTTGCAATTGACTGATGGGGATTTGGTCACTGCTGATGGTGTTCAAGTGTGCTCCAGTTATTTTGGGATGGCTCCCAAGGTGCCTATCACGATTGGTACTACCTTTTTTTTTGCCACAGCCATTCTACTTCTGCTTGCTTTGTATTTTGTTATTTTTCCCCAGTTCCTTCTCTTTTGTATTTATTTTATGCAACAATATAATCCGTTCTTAATAATTAATAAATTATTATTATTAATAGCCTACACATATATTATACCAATACGCTACGACATCCTAGGAAGAACGTGATGCGTATGAAGGCCAGCACAGTTACAGAACTGGCAATTGTGATTTCACGTTTTTGTGAATATAATAACAACTGGATAAAAATGTCAAATCCAATCTAAATATTTGACTGGCTGTGTGAGCAACCATCACCATTATCATAATAATAGTTTTCTATGCTATCCAACTCTGGGTTATTTTAATATCAAGTAGAAAGTTAAAGAACATAGGACGTTTTAGTGCTATTAAATTGAGTTGACTCTTTCTAGAGTGCAGAGAAG